GGATATTTATACGGCGGCTGTTATTTGCAGAGGCTTTAAGCGGGGAAAGGGGGCTGCTGGTATGATCTGGAACTTGGCACTCTCTGCGGGTTCTCTGCTCCCCCAGCCTCTCTCCAGCCCCAGGCAGGGGAGAAGCTCGAATCGCTGTCCCATGGCGACCCCTGGTGGCGCAGAATACTCACTGCAGCACTTTCTGGGTCTCCACAAATAAAGGCTGCCTCCTGTTCTGGGGGAAGGTGGAGGGGGCACACTCACGACACAGGTGCTCAGATCGACCACACTGGCTCCTCCCCAACCTCCAGGGGCGCCAAGCTACCTCCCACCATGGGGTCTTTGCATGAGCTGTACCTTCCACCTGCAGTAGCCCTTCCTTCTTGGAATGCCTCCTCCAGGAAGCCTCCCATGACTGCCCCCAGCCCCAGGGCCCCCACAGTGGCCTCTGCATCACCCCATCACACCCAGGACCACCCCGGCTGCAACCACCTAGTGGTGTGTCTGTCTCCCCCACAGAGCTATGAGCCCCATGAGGTCTGCTTTAGTCAACACTGTCCACCAAATCTGAAACCCTCCCTGGCATACACTAGGTGCTCAATACATACTGTTCAGTGAACGGATGACAAAACGAATGGACAGGATATTCACCAGCAGGCAGGAGGGAAACAGAACAAAGAGGTTATTTTAAAGATAAAAAGATGTGCCCATTAATTCAAAGTCATTTATTAAGCACCTGCTGTGTGCCAGGTACTGGGGTCCAGCAGTGAAATCAACAGATAAAATTCCCATCCTCTTGGGAAGGCAGATGATAAACAATGTGCTCAGTGAATAAGTGACTTACTATTTTTGTCTAAAAGTGCTAAGCATTAGGGAGCAATAGAACGGGGTGGGGAGGGTGGATGAGGTTGTAAATGATTTTAAGTGGGGTAATCAGAGAAGTCTCCATTGAGAGGATGACATTTGAGCAAAAATCTGCAGGAGGTGAGGAGGGGGCTATGTCGGCATCTGGAGGAAGGGCATTCCAAGGAGAGGGAACAGCTGTGTAAATGTCCTGGGGCAGGACCACATCTGTGTGTTGAAGCCCATGTGGCTCGTACAGACTAGATGGGGGGAAGAGGGAGAGGAGAGGAGGGCAGGTCGCGCTGGGCCTTGGGGGCCGCGGGGAGGACCCGGGCTTTTACTCTCAAGGCGGTGGAGCCCTGGAGGACTGAGGGCAGAGGAGGTGCTCACGCGCGCCCTCTGGTGGGCCACCCAGATTGTGCCGGAGATGCAGAAGATTTGCAAGATTCAAAGTCCCTCAAGTTCTGCCCAGGCTCGGTGGCAGCCACGCATGCACTGGGTGACACTGGGCAATGCATTGCCGTCTCTGGGCCCAGAGAGCGGGAGGACATTTGTAGAAGATCTAATCATCTCAGAAAGACATCATTCCTAACAGGGACGCAGCTATTAACCTCTGAAAACAAATCATCTGCTATTGATTCATGTTTCCGAGTTCTTAAAGAAGGGGAAATTTTCAAAAAAATTCCCCCCTATTTTTCTTTAAGGCTGTTTGTCCCTAGCGGGGATAGGGGGTTTCCCAGGAAACACCCCAGGCCTGGTGGCCACTGGGGGCGCACTGGCCTTGGAGCGGTGGCGGCCACCAGGGGGCGCCAGGGCAACAGGACGTGTGGCTGAGCCCCAAGCTCTGGCAAAGCGCAGCTCTGTCTGGAGCTGTCCTAGCTCACACTCTCGCCTCCGGGCCTTTGCAGTGCTCTGTGCACCTCCAGGAGCTCTCTTCCCAGCCCATGGCTCATTCCACCATACGCCTCAAGTCTCAGCTTACTTCCTCCTTCCAGAAGCTTCTCTGAATCCCCGCCGGCGGGTCAGGAGTCCCCTTTGGCCCTCCACAGCCCCCTACACTTCTCCATCACAGGCCTGATTCCCCTGGTCACTGTTTCTGTCTCTGGCAGCTGACCGTGAGCTTTAAGAGAACAGGACGGTGTTGTCTCAGTTCACCTTGGGGGTATGGTGACCACTCAGTCGCCACTGTGCCCACAGGTGCCTGCACCCAGTAGGAGCTCAATAAATGTTGGTTGGATAAGTAGATGGATGAATCACATCCTCTCCACCCACTGCCCAGGGAACTCCATAGGGGTCAGGGATAGCGCCCCAGACGGACCTGTACACAGCAGGTGCTCCACATATTGTTCCTCAGAAGGATTTACTTACTGAGCAACTACCGTGTGCTGGGCACTGAAGACACTACAGTGACCCAGACAGATCCAGGAGCCAGGAAAGGAACAAGACTATTTCACAGAATAAAAAACAAAAACAAAAAAAACAATGGACGTAATGAATGAGCAGTCTCACGATCTCCGTATGGGCTAGAACCCAGTAGAGTCACCTGGCTCCTTCTTCAGCCCCCAAAGGCTACTGTGTGCTGTGTGACCTTGGATAAGTGACTTCCCCTCTCTGGGCCTTAGTGTCTTCATCTGTAAACTGGGGACAAGGATAGTCTCCAGCTCCTGGGCTGCTGGGAGGATGAAATAAGCTCAGCCAGCATGTAAAAGCCTCCGCCCAGGGCTTTCAAAATGCCTGTCCTTTAAGTATGCTGGAGTGACACGGGGACCTGCGAAGTATTGGAGCTCCAGACCTGAAGTCACTAGGACCGAGTACGAATGGGAAAGATGAGGTCCAGGAAAGGGCTGTGACTTGTCCCAAGTCTCACAATGTCTCAGGGATGAAATAAAGACTCACGCTCTGAATGTGCCCACTTGTCCCTCCTCTGCCTCCACCTGGGTCCGGCCCTCATCACGGCTGGCCTGGATCTGCTCTGTTGCCACTGCTCTGGTCCCAGGCTCAGGGCTGCACCCCGCCCCCCCAACTTCCTGACCTGTCCTTCCCAGAGCAGCCACCAGAGGGCGCCTGTGAGCACTTGAGTCAGGTCCTGCCCTCCTCTGCCCGTAGCCTTGCAGGGCTCCCACCTCCCTGAGGGAAAAGCCCAAGTCCTCCCCGAAGCCCCCAGGGCCCAGCAGGAACCTGCTACCGTCCCCTCCCTGCCCTCCTCTCCTCCCTCCCTCCCCTTCGCTCATTCTGCTCCAGCCACACAGGCGTCCTTGCTGTTCCTCCAACATGCCAGGCAGGGCCCTGCCCCAGGACCTTTGCCCACGAGCTGTTTCCTCTGCCCAGAAAATCACCCCAGTCCTCCAGCTCTTCTCCTCATGGCCGGCTCCTCTTCCTATGGGGCTTGGCTCTAACACCACCTCCTCAGAGAGGCCCTCCTTGGCCACTCGGGCCAAAGTTTTCCCTCCTGGGACACCCCCATCTCACTGTTCATTTCTTCTGATAGCCCTTCACTTTCTGAAATGATCTCACTTCCTGTGATGACTCATTCGCTGTCCCCTCTCCTCCGCCTGCAAGGAGAGCAAGGGATAGATTGCCACTGCCTTTGCCCCTACTGCACTCCAGTGCCTGGGACAAACTGGGTACACAGTAGGCGCTCAATAAATGTTGTTCACATGAACGAATGGTCTGTTCACCGCAATCGTCCAGCTATTTGCAGCTAGCTCTCGCCTCCATGAACAGAAACCGTCTGTCCACGAACCCCGCCACCTCGGCCCACCCTGGAAGCTGGGCTCCCGGACTCCTCCCCAGGTTTCACTTCAGTGCTGCGGAGGCTTCAGGAAGCTGAGCCCCAACAAAATCTGAGTCAGCGACTAAAATAACCAGTGGTATCTGACGCCCTGGGTGAGTCAGCCAGGCCCGCCCTCCGGGGCCCCAGGAAACGGAGGAAAGGGCTTGCAAAGTTAATGTTTGAGCCAGGTGGTTGGGTGGGAGGGGCTAGCGGCTTCCTGGCTCCGCCGGCTGGAGTTCGCCCTTCCGTCACTTCCTCCCTTGGAAATTACAATTCCTCCACTTCTGACCGGTGTGACCGTGCAGACCCAGAGTCACCCCTTTGAGCCTGTTTTTCCTATCTGTAAAATGAGCCCAACAATATAAGCTTCTACTCTGAGGGAGGTCAATTTTGGGGATTAAAATAAGTTCAGGAGCGCCAGGCTGGCTCAGTGGGTGGAGCATGTGACTCTTGATCTCAGGGTCCTGAGTTCGAGCCCCACCTTGGGCACAGAGATTACTTTTAAAAAATAAAAATAAAATCGAATACGTTTGGATCTTTAAAGCCTGTGCAATCCGTAAATGTGAGTGCCCAACAAGTGTTAATTCTATTCTTTCTCAAAGGTCTGTGACCCTGAAAAAAGATTAACCCCCTCCTCTCCGGCTGGCGGTTAATGAGCACTTACACTGCGAGGTTCAGTGTCTCACACAGGATCTGCTGACAACCTTGAAACATCAAACCCACTTCTCAAACGAGAACTCGAGGCTCGGAGAGCCGACAGCCCTTGCCCAAGATCACAGGGTTGGATTGAGTCCAGCAAGGTGGGGAGTGGGGGACACGACACATCAAGGCAGGAACCTTTGGCAAAAAAGAAAGGGGGCGGGCTACAGCAGTAAGTGCTAAATGTCCCCCCGCGTCTTTTCTCTCTATGTTCTCTGGTATTAGAACCAAAACTTTTAGCAAAGCCCACGGCCCAGCAGAAGACTACATTTCCCAACGTCCCTTGCAGCCGAGGGGCCACGTGACTAGGCTCTGGCCAATGAAATGCGAGAAACTGCGCACGACGTTCGGTCCATGCCTCACGCTGGGAGAAGCGAGCTCCTCCCTTCCGGTTCCCTTTTTGGGAACAGTTGAAGTCTCCCAGGGGAGAACCGCACCGCGGAAACATTCAATAAATATTTATTATAGTTAAAACACGGTACCCACATCCCCCAGCCCACTAGCCCCACCACCACCCAGGTGAGAATTTGTAAATGCCACATCCAATTCTGGCCACCCTGCGCGCCGGGAAGTCGTCGGGGCCCATTTTGCACCGTTTCCGGAGAGCGGCCGACGACGCCACGCTCCTCTGCCCCCCCCCTGGAACAGGTGGGGGGCGTCCCCAAGGTCCGGGTCCTCGGGCCCAGCCACTCGGTCACTCTGCTTCTTGCGTCTTGTCCTCGGGCGCCTGGGTCCCTCTCTGGTTCCACATGTGGTTGTTGAGGCCCAGCTGCACCATCTGGGCGTGGTGGATGATGAGGGGCTGCAGCCCGGGGTTCGGAGGGGGCGCCGGGCCGGCCTGCGGGAAGGCGGGGGGCGGCGGGAAGGCGGGGGGCGGCGGGAAGGCGGGCGCGGGCGAGCCGGCCAGCCACGGAGGCTCAGGGGGCGGCTGATGGCCCGGCCAGGAGGGAAAGGGCGGGGGGGCGCCCAGAGGCCCCGGGCCCCCGGGGTGCCCCTGAGTCCCAAATGGCATGTGGCTCGCGAAGGCCGCCCGGAGTGTCTCCATCTGCGCCTGCCAGGACAAGCAGCTCTGGACGTAGGCCGAGTAGGCTGCGTTCAGTGCCGCTACCTGCTGCCGCTCGCCCTCCAGGTGCCGGTGCTGCTCTTGCAGGGCCCGCACGTCCTGTTCCTTCCTCCAGTGGGCTTTGCGGGCTCGTAGCGTCTGCGGCTTGAAGGTGTTGACCACCCTCCTGTCGAAGATCCGGGAGTGCTCGTCCAGCCACACCAGGCCGATGAGCAGGCTGGACGTGTGGGGGCTGAGCTGGGCCTGGGAGCTCTCCAGGGGCAGGAAGGGGATCACACAGTCTTGCCACCCGGGCCGCGTGAGGCTGCTCATCAGCGAATGGCCCGCCTGGTGCTGGCCCAGGTGGCAGTCGAAGTTGGGGGTGAGCAGCAGGATGGTGAAGGCCGAGTGTTCGATGGCGTCTTGTAGGCAGCGCAGCTCGCCCCGCCCGGGCACCTGGAAATCCTCACAGAAGGTGGCCCCATCAGGGACCCCCAGGGCCTCCAGCTTCTCCCGGACCCGCAGGGCAATGTGTTCATCCGCCGCAACGTGCAGGATCACAAAGTTATAGAATTTCTGCTCTGACTCCAACTCGGGAGAAGGGGGGCATGGGCTGGAGGAGGCCAAGCCAGTGGAAGAAGGGGTCGATGATGCAGGGTAGGGAGGGGACGTCCTCAGGGCTGAGGGCGCAGGTGGGCATGGGCTGGCCACCTGGGAAGTGATATCTTCTACAGGAAGTGGGAGTGGGGGCTGGTCCTTGTCAGGGCAAGTGTTTCTGGAGGGCAAGGAGAGAGATTTGGGGGCTGCCAACACTTCTGTGCACTCCACCGGGTAGTGGGTGCTGATTTCCAGAGCTTTGGGGGGGTCGAGCTGGCCAGGGCTTGCATCTGGGACCAGCTCAGTAAGCCTAGGGGCTGAGCTGTTTGGTAGCGTCCGGGAGCTGGCAGTCTCCCCCGATGAGGGGCTGGCAGTCTCCCCCGATGGGGGACCGGCAGCCTCCCCCAATGGGGGGCTGGCACTCTCCCCGGATGACGGGCTAGCCACCTCTCCTGATGAGGGGCTGACAGTCTCCCCCAGTGGGGGGCTGGCAGTCTCCATCGATGGGGGGCTGACAGTCTCTTCCGAAGGTGGCCAGCTCACCTCCTCAGGCTCCTGGCAGGCCGTGGGGGCAGGCTCAGGCACCGGGCTGGCCTGGGGCTCGTCACACAGCTTGCTGGGCCCGTGGCAGCTGCAGTGATGGCTGAGAAAGGGCATGGTGGGCGACTGGCTGATTTCCAGATTGCTGGCCAGGGAGGCGGGGCTGCCGGTGGATCTCAGGGAACACCCTCTGCTCCAGTCCGAAAGGTGCCTGATGGGCTGGGGAAGGCTGTGAGTGCCCGAGGGTGACACTGAGGATGGTGGCAGGCAGTCCAGATCAGAGTGAAGGGGCTGGAAGCTCCCTGGGTCCCTGATGATACCCCACCCACAGCGGTCCTGGGCCTCTCCCTGGAGCTCTGAGAGCCGGTGGTCATCCCTGGAGCTGAACGTATGGAGGGCAGCCTTGTAGGCCATGTCCCGCATAGTGGCCGGGCACAGCTTCTCCTCAGCGAGCAGGTGGAATACCCGGGCGACTGCCCAGGACAAGTCTGGGGGCTCCTCTGGGGCCTCGGCACTGTCCATGCCGGCCCACTGGCGGGCCACAAGCCGGGCCACCGCATCCGCCTTCAGCGCTTCCAGGGAGATCCTGGCCTCGGTCTCCTGGCCCAGCTTCAGGAGCACCATGGCGTGCAGGAGGTCCGCCCCCCGGCAGCCTGGGCGCAGGGTCTTCAGCTTGTGCTTAAGATGCAAGAGCTTGCCCTCGCCTGCGGCACCTAGAATGTCAAAGGCGCTGGAGAGTGACAGGCCAGTGCAGGCCATGGGCATAGGTGAGTGCGGCCGTGGGCAGCAGAAGCACTGGGTGGTGGAGGCATGTTCCACACCACCTGCCTTCCTGCATGCTCGGAGTCCCCTACGTGCTCACCATTCCGAGTCTCATGGGGGACACTGCAGTAGACCTGTGAAGCAAGAGAGACACAGTCACTTCCAGAGAGGGGATAGCTCTGGGAGGTGGCCCAGACACCCCCACCTGCCCACTTTCCGGTGCCATCACCACCTATCAGGGTGACCTTGGGAAAGATGTGTGACCTCCCCCTGCCTCCATTTCCTCCTCTGCAAGATGAGAGCAGCCAACACTTGCCTGGTGTCACCCAAGAGGTAGACCCTACTATTTTCCCCGTTTGCATGTGAAAAAAAGCATGCCAGAAAAGGGAAGTCACTTGCCCAAAGTTACACAGCCCGTGGGTGACAGCTGGGATCTGAACCCATGAAATCTGGCTCCAGAGGCTGAGTGCCCAACCACAAAACTACACTGCCTATTGGGAATAATAAGCTCACTTGTGGGACTGTTTCAGGGAATTGTGCTGCCTTCACATAGGGAAAGTTCTGAGCTTGATGACCAGAAGTCAGTAGGCAGAGGGAACATCCTGGACTCCTGGCAACTCCTGCCCCGGTCGAGGCTTCAGGTGAGGCAGCCACCGGCCAACAGCTTAACCGTGACCTCGAGAGAGCTTCTAAGCCAGAGCCACCCAACTCATCTTCCTCCAAATTCCTGACACCCAGGAACTGTCTGAGATGATACATGTTTGTGGTTTTTAAACCACGACGTCCTGGGGTCATTTACACTACACAGCTACAGGTGCTCCAGGTAGTGATGTTAGCGTGAGGAACTAACCATTGCTGGGAGCCAGCTCCAGGCCTGATGGTGCTGCCAAGCCATTTGGAGACTGTTCCTTGCTCTCCATGTCTCAACAAATGCCAAGCTGGTTCCTACCTCGGGCTCCTTGCAAGTGCTGTTCCCTCTGCTTGGAGTGCTCCTTCCTCAGACCTTTGCCTGAGGGACGCTAGTCTCATCATTCAGCTCTCAGGCACAATGGCGCCATCTCCGCAGCCCTGCACGACCCCGCTGTCCTTCCCAGTCTGTCTCTCCCACGTCACCTTGTTCCCCCCAGCATGTCACTGGGTGAACTTTTCTTGTGTGTTAGACTTTTTGCATTTGCTGTTTGCCTCCTGGCACCCGTGGATGGGGCTGAGCCTCTCCTAACCCTGCTGGGTTGCTGAACCACAAAGTGGGGACCTAACCTTGTGGAATGAATGAATGCGGCTAGAACTCCTATCCTCCCAATGCTGTGGATGAAAAAAACAGGCACAGAAAAAGGCCTTTCGGGGCACCTGGGTGGCTCAGTTGGTTAAGTGTCTGCCTTCGGCTCAGGTCATGATCCCAGGGTCCTGGGATCGAGCCCCGCGTCAGGCTCCCTGCTCAGCAGGGAGCCTGCTTCTCCCTCTCCCACTCCCCCAGCTTGTGTTCCCTCTCTCGCTCACTCTGTCCCTCAAATAAACAAATAAAATCTTAAAAGAAAAAAAAAGGCCTTTCACAAGCGCACACAACAGGATGCTAGGGAGAGTATTCCAAATCCTATAACTGAGGTCACCAGGTGCTCAAAGCACATCATATTCAGACTTAGAAAAAAAACAAAACAAGAACAAAAACACAAACCACCATTTCAGATCCATTCCAGGAGACTGAGAACACTTTATATGCCCTTCAGCTGGGCTGAGACTTCTGTCCGGTCCACCCTAGTGCCCACAACGACACCCCCAGAGCCTAGAGCAGTGCTTCTCAACCAAAAACACCTCTGACCACCAACCACCCCCACCCTTGGCAATGTCTGGGGACATCGATGGTTGTCACGACCGCAGGGAAAGGTGTGCCTAGCATCAAGTAGATGGGGCCAAGGCTCACTCCCCCTCCCCTGAGCAGTGCCCAGGACAGCACCCCGACAGAGAATGACCCAGCCCCAAATATTGCTCAGTGCTGACATTGAGGATCCTGGTCTAGAGCAAAAGCTGACTCATGGATCACAGACCATGAATCACAGACCTCAGTGCAAAAATGATTCAGGATTTTTTTTTTTAATCCATTTTGAGTAGTTGTGAGCCACTGGGGCACCAGGGCCAAGGTCAAAGATTCCAGGAAGGTCAGATGCAGGCCAGAGACAGCATGGGGAGAGCCAGCACTGGGGGCAGAAGTGCAAGGGGGACAGGACTGAGCTGACCCCAGGAGCAGGGCAGAAGAGAAGTGGCCAAGAAGGAGCAGAGGGGGTGGCGCTTGGGGGAAGGATGTAGAGAGGCAAGTGGCTGTCTGGCCGTTTCAGAAATACAAGTGGCCCGAGATGCTGACATGAAGACTTGGTGGGGGGTGAAATGGCACAGACCGCCCCCCCCAAATGCAGCTGACTTCCTCCTGTGGAGGACAGACAACCAACAAATGAGTGACATTCACAGCACATCAGCTGGGAATAAATGTTACGGAGAAACATGAGGAGGGAAGGAGGGTCATGAACCCCAAGAATCAGGGGTGGGGGTGTTCACAGTTTTAAACAACGTGGTTCAAGAAGGCCTTGATGACAAGAGAGATTTCAACAGGACATACAAATGTGACCCAGGGGGACATCTGAGGGAAGAGAGTTCTAGGCAGAGGGAACAGCATGAGCAAAGGCCCTGGGGCAGGACCAGCCCAGAGTGATGGAGGAGCAGCGAGGATGCCTGCTTGGCCGAGTGAGTGAGGGGGAGAGAGGGAGGAGGGGAGGGCAGGGAGGGGACCCGGTGATTGGGGTTCCAATCTGAGCTCCACCACTCCCAAGCTAGAAGGGCAGGCCATGTGCACACGGGTGCCTCAGTGTTCTCATCTCTGAAATGGGTGCAATGAGAAGCCCTATCTGCTAGCGTCAGCATGGATTGAAGAGGCTCACACATGTACAACCGTTGGAGGGCTGCCTGGCACTCCATGGGTGCTCCGTGGGCGTGACTCCTGCCCCCTTCCAGCAACCACCAGACTTGGAGGCCCCCCAGGGAAGGCTCAGGCTGTGAGCCAGGCTCAGAAGCAGCAAGACAGCACCACCCCCGCCTGCATTCCTGGAAAATATCAGAAGCCAAACAACCGTTTTCCACCTCCCCACCGACCTGCCTGAGCCCTGACAGTGGCTGCACCAGCTTTGCCCGACTCCCAGGACCGGCCCCCAAGTGTGTTCCGCATCCACCCTGCCCTGCCCAGCTCCCACCCCTACCTGCCACAAACCCGGCTCTCATTCCGCCCCACCCTCCACGGCCTCCAGGGCACAGTCCACCGCGCACCCCACAGCGTGGACGCCTTGTGACGAAAGTACCAACAGGGGTGGGGGCCCCACTCTGCCACCTGCCCACTTATGGAGCCCACTTAGGTCAGTTTCTTCAGACCCGGAAAGTGGCCCTCCCCATGAGCAGGAGCTCAGTATAACAACATAATAATGCAACATAATAATGCAACATAATAATAAATAAATAAAATTTGGCAGAACTTATTTTTTTCTCTTCCTCTTCTTAAAACATTTTTAACCACATCTGGCTTATGCCCATTCCCCCCTCTCTCCTCTCCCACAGTCTCCAGTGTCTCTCCGTGCGTCGGGCAAATATTCGTTGAGCATCTACTATGTGTTAAGACCTGTTGTAGGTGCTGTTGCAGCCCAAGATGCACAGATCCCCTCCCCTCACAGAGCTCACAGTCCAGTTGGGGGAAACCGATAATAGATGAGAGACTGATCCACTGCAGAGAATGAGAAGTTCATGAAGAAAATGAAACAGGGTGTGGTAGTGAGGAACCGGGGAAAGGCTACTGAGGAGCCAGGGAGGCCTCTGGGAGGAAGCGAATGGGAGCTGAGACCTGAAGGAGGGATGAGAGTGATTCAGGTGAAGACCTGGGGGAAGAAAGTTTCAGGCAGAAGGAATAGCACGTGCAAACGTCCTGGCGTAGGACAGAGGCTGGCATGTGGGAGGAACAATGAGGAGGCCCGTGTGGCTGCAGCAAAGTGAGCAAAGGGGAGAGAGGGACAGGGGGTCAGGACGTGCGGTGCCTTGGGGCCAGCGGGGAGGTGAGAGCCCTGGAGGGCTGTGGGCAGAGGAGGGCGGGGCCTGACTCGGGGCTCAGGGGCGCCCTCTGGCGGCTGCTTCTGGGAGGACGGACGTGGGAGCAGGGGCAGGAGCCTGGGACCTGGGTGGTGACCCCCTGCTCCGGCAAGCAGTAACGGGGGCTGGACCAGGTGGGGATCTCACCTGGATTTGTGGATAATTTGGAGAAAGCGAGAGGGTCAGGAGGAGGCAAGGAGGGCACCTAGGCTTTGGTCCCAAATGCTTGATTCAGAAAATGTGGAAGAGCTGGTTTGTGATTAGGGCGGAGAAATCAGAGGTGTCTCAGACATGACCCATTTGATGGGTCCTCCCTGTGGGCCCCTGTCCCCTCCCTGCCCTCACCTCCTCCCACCCCCCCTCGCTCCCTCCCATCCAACCACACTGCTCCTTAAATATATCACACTTGATCCTGCCTCAGGGCCTTTGCATTGGCTGTTCCCTCAGCCTAGGGCACCCTTCCCCAGATGGCTGGCTCCTTTGAACCTCCTTTAGGTCTCAGCTCAAATGTCACTCCCTCATCAAGGTCAACCTTGGCCACCCTGCCTAAAACTGAAGCCCATTCCCGCACACTCCTTGCTTTATTTTTCTCCTTCCAACTTCTCCTAACCTGACACTATAGGTTTCCCAACTTACTTTGTTGAGAATGCATCGCTTCCCACCTGAGTCAGCACTGCTAAAACAGGGATGTTCATTTGTCTTGTTCACAGCTGCATTAATGACTGGCACACAGGTGGTGCTTAATAAATACTGATTGACAGGATCAATCAATGAATGGACAGAACAGCACCTGGCACACAGTAAGCGCTCCATAAATGTTTCCTGCTGAATCCTCTCCCCAGCAAGACAGAAAGTCTAATCTGCTCCCACCAGGACTGGCA